CGGCCAGGGGATGTTACAGCTCTGGTGTTTGCAAGGGAACGGTGTTTATCCATCCTTGTGCATATAAAACACTTCTTTTGCCTGGTGAATCGTTAATCTGGGTTGTGCGCCCTGAGTGAGAAGCTTTCTGCCAGGGCAGGAGGGATGTGGTGGAAGGAAGAGGAGGATGCAATAAAGGTTTGCCATAACTGGTGGGGTCTGGCGTGATTTTTGGAAGCTCAGTGCCAGTTCTGATTTGCGATGCCTTTCAGCTGAGCCTGGTTTCAGCTTTGCTGAAGGAAAGTGCTGAAGCTTCTTTGCCAGAAGTACTCGGTGAGCAGCCTGTGTGGATCAGGGAACGTAGTGACATGACTCTTCAGTGGTCTTAAAAAAAAAATAAATCTTTCTTGTCATAGAATCATAGAATCATAGAATCATTGAGGTTGGAAAAGACCTCTAAGATCATCGAGTCCAACTGTCGACCCAACACCACCATGTCCACTAAACCATGTCCCTACGGTCATGGACCGTATCTCTAAGGTATGCTAAAGTGAAAGGATGAATAGCTTTTCTAAACAGACTGGATTTTGTATCAGGCCCTGTTTGTAGTGTTCATATATAAGGACTCAGCATACAGCTCTTGTGCAAAAACTTACTACCCATTTTTCTGCAGCAGCAAGAATTCCTTGGAGAATTACCCGGGTTCCAGGCTATACTTTTGTAGTCATGGTAATGTTGTTTGTGGCTAAACTGCAAAGATTTGGCATGCTGCATTTTTTTGTATTGTAAATGGGATTGTACATGTGCTAATGGTGGTCCAATGCTGTGTACGTATGTCTTTAAGCCCTCTCATGGCAGGCAGACACTTTCAGATTTGACTTTCAGAAGGAGTGCTTCTCTTTCCAATTTCTTTATTTGTTTCAGTATTATTTTTTCACCACTATTATGAAATTAGGTGGTTGTTCCTAATGTTTTCCTGGGGGAAAAAAAAAAAAACATTAAGCAACTAGCAGCCTTTCCCCTTGGCTCAGCAATTGAAAGGGGGGGGGTACCTTGCAAATGCAACCACTGGGTGTCCTTTCACAGCAATACTTTTTTTCTGGTGCCTTAGTTCTTTTTAATGTTTGAGTCAGGAGAAGTTGCCAAAATGTAAATTATGACTAGCATACTTTTCCCTCCCACACAGAGCAGATCACTGATAGCGGATATAGCTTGTTCCTTGTGTAGTTGCCTTGCAGGCCGCCTTATTCTACTAGTTTAACACACCTCAGCGCGCTCTGTCCATCATTCTGTCTTCTCTTCCTGGAGAACTACAGACACGAGCATTTTCTTTTGGTATTCACAATTCAGGGGGGAAATGCTAGCTAGAAATCCTATATAGTTTTAAATGTAGCTGTGTGAGAGCTTGTATAGAAAGAACATGCCATTTATGATTCCCATGTTATTTTCTTGTTATAAATTTATGCTGTATTACTAAGTCATGCTCATCATGCGTGTTGTAGTACTTTAGTTGCTCTATCTCTGTTAGGGCAGCTGTGAGCTAAATATTTTATCGGAAGCAGAGAGATTCTCAAAATCAGGCTGCTGTCTGGACGCAAGTTGCTCTTTGTGGTTGTGTTCTGTTCCTATAAATTCTTTTGATGCCTGCAAAGTTTTGCCCCAGCTGGATATGCCATTTTCTCCATCCTAGAGATTGCAAGTGGAGAAAAAAGAAAAAAGGAGAGAGAGAGAAAGCAGGAAAGAGATGAAGAGAATAAACAAGTTTTGCAATAAAGAGGTATTTTGAGTGGGTATTTCATATTGTTTCTTATTGGTCAAACTCTTCCATGATTTGAGAGGGTTAGAGATGCAATTTATTCATTTTCTCCAAGGGAGAGGCTGCATTTAATATGTGCTCTCCAGGATCCCCTGTTAAAATATTGGGCAATAAAATCCTTGACTGTACAGTAGTTGTGGTTATAATTTCCCCCAGGTAGTGAAAACTCTGTAATTTATTGTTGTTTAAGTTTTCCCTTCGCACAGATCGGAGTGATTGTAGCAGTGTATAAAGGACTGGTTTTCTCCACGTGCATGTATTTGTTGGTGACCCAGCTCCGCTCTCTGATGAGCTTTGTGCTGCAAAGCCCTCCACAGTTGCTGACTTGGCATCTGTGAGCAAAAATATCAGTGAAGACTGAGTTGGATCTGTTGCGAGCAACTTGCTTTGCTCCTCCTTGGTAAAAGCTACAGGTCTGCCTGGGCTTCGGGTGGTTTTGCGGTATAGAGAGAGATACCCCAGCTGGACTGAACAGCAGAAGTGATTATGGTGAGCCCACTTACGCCATTGAAAACTGCTCTACATCACCTTTCTTCAGTGATGTACTTTTAATGCACGTTGGCTAAACGGGGTGGTATTAAGAACAGGCTTATTTGCCGTGAGCCGTTGACTCCTCCTGACACGATATGACCGTTTGCACTAATTGACATTGCAGATCTTCATGGCATTAGCTGGGGCTGGGGTAGTCTGAGGTTGTAAATGAGGCATGGTTTGTGGGGGGATGTGAGATCCTTTTTTTAGACCAGCTGAGAAAGCTGGAAAAAGCAGGCGGGCTTGGAGGCGTGGACGGGCTGGCTGAAGCTCGCCTTGTTCTAATTTTAGTTTAGTGAGCACAGGCAGCACCTTCGTTCGAAAAGAGGGAGCTCAGCCTGGCAGCTGCCTGCAAATGGGCAGCGGTGGTGCCCGGGATCTCCTCTTGCGGGTATCCTTTGCAGCACCTCACTGTTGCACAAGTCTGACCTGCTTTTTGTCCTGGGTGGACTGTAGCACTCAAGCGTATAAGAAGGAAAAAAATGCTTAAAGTGGGTGGACTGTAGCACTCAAGCGTATAAGGGGAAAAAGTGCTTAAAAATGTGATGGTTCAGAAATCAGAGAGGAAAATGATACGAGTACCTCATTTGTTATTATTTTTTAAAATTTCCGGTTTTCAGCCACTGTTGTGAATTTTGAGTGGGGGGGGGGTTAACACAGCTGCTGACATTAGAGGAGGCAGAGATGGGCACCTCCACCTTCCCGAGGAGCATCGCTGTTGGGATGAGGGCAGGGGTGTGAGCACACCAGCCTCCCCGGGCTAAACACAGCCTTCCTGAATATGCCACTAAGTCGGCTTTGCTTTATAGGTCCAGACTGGGAGAGGTGTCAATGCCTCTGGTCTGAAAAGAATTTAGTGCCTGAATGGATTTATTTAGCACCTAAGACTGTGTTTCAGCCTGGGTGAAGGGTGAAGGCTTGTGGAGGAAGGGAGAGGTGGGTGATCCCCTATGCTGCAGGTGACAACACCAGGCAGCATTAGAAAACACAGGTCTTAGCAACTTCTGGAGCAGTGAAAGGTAAAAAAAAAGGTAACTGGTTCTTCAGGTAACCCTCGCCTCAGATGTGTGGGCTTCAGCATTGGAGCAGCAAAAATAAAGTGTTAACTTCATCCCTGGTGCAATACTACTGGAATAAAAGTTATGCCATGAAGAAACTCGCCTTGCATCAGCCTGCAATGGGCTCTGCACCACTGCCGACTGCACGCTGTATTTTATTAGATGCTGGAGTATGAAGCTATTAGCAAAAAAGTAAGGAAAAAGACAGGTAACTAATGGTAAACAAACATAAGCTGCTATCAATGAGCATCTAATTTCTACCATTGTCTCATTCTGCCCTCGCGGATCGTATTCCCACAAAGAGGAACTCGCATTGTTTCCTCCTGTTACGTGAATTTTGTAATTCACTGAATACAAACGTCAATGCCAGATACCCTGAGGAAGAAGCCCGTGGTGTTGAATCGGTAGTGCAAGAATGCGTTTGGTGGTGTTTTATTTATCTAGAGTCTAAAATGCAAAATATTCAGCAAACTGTGTCATTAGAGATGATACGATATCATCAGTCTGTGCGTCAAAAAAGTCTGAAAACATAAGAAACTGATCCCTGGGGGAAGCCCATGAAAGTGGCTTTCTGCACCCCGAATGTGAAGGGCAAGAACGTGAATACTTTCATTTGTGCAGCACGAAATACCTCCACGATCACAACCCCGTGCGCACGCAGCTGTTCGCACACAACCGTTGTACAGTGACTGTGTTCCGGACCCCCGTCCCAACAGGTTGCAATGCCATTTAAAAGCACCCGTTTCTTCCCATCCACGGTGGGGGCAGCCAGATCCATGACTGCCTGGAGCCAGCCAGGTACCGGGGTGTAGGAGGGGGGACGGTGCTCGCCACGGGGGACTGTGAAGCAGTTCTTCCTGGGGATGCTGCCGTACTGCTTTCCTCAGCACCGGCTTTCCCTCCTTCCCTCTTTCCTTGGTTTTGGCCCCTGGTGGTTTCCTAGCATGCCACGCCGACCCAGGGTATCAGGGTCCTTGTTAAACCAGCGTAGATATTTGGGGATAATTTGTTAGGGATGTGGCAGCTGGAGAACCTTGTGCTTCAGGTTTACTTGGTTAAGAAAGATTGGGGTGCGGGAAGGGAGAAGGGCAAACATTTTCCCTTTGCCTTTTTTCTTTGCCTGGAAGAAATATTTTATTTGAGATGTTTTTTGTTTTTTTTTTTAAATTAAAGCCTCTGAGAAGTAATATTGCATCTTCCAAACAAACTGCTGAACTCAACTGCTTTTACCGAACGCGTGCAAAATTTTCCCCTCAGGATCCTTAGAGGCCCTGGAGTGCCTGCCTTGCAAAACCTGGGGCAGTGAACAGAGTCACTCCATAGGACACTCACAGAGAGTGATCTCCACAGGATACCTTTAGACAGTGTGCTTACATGTATTTATAAATACATATATATATGTAACACATAGAATTCTCTTTTGGTATGTTACTGCATACAGTAAGCAGAAAGAAAAATAATGCAGAACCAAGATATTGAAAGAGACACTGTCCAGCTGGTAAACTCTGAAAAAGAAAACCCAAAACCCTCTAAGAGGCACAGATACGGAACAGTTTTTATCATCGGCTTTCTCTTGCCGCTTAATACACGTGGTTATTTCTTTGTGATCATTTCAGATGCCTCAGGAACAATACGCGCACCGGAGCACCATGCAGACCTCGGAAGGACCCCAGGTATACAAAGTGGGGATTTATGGCTGGAGGAAGAGATGCCTCTATTTCTTTGTGCTGCTCCTAATGATTTTAATCCTGGTGAACCTTGCTATGACCATCTGGATTCTGAAGGTTATGAACTTCACAATTGTAAGTAGGGGTTACCCTGAAAGGTCTGGGGAAGATGAGGGAGGGTGATGGTCTTTCCTCTGGGCATGAATTCAGATACAGCTTCGATAACGGGGTGTTTTAGTTGCCATGGATAGCCATTATTACAGGGAGGAACAAATTTACCCAATGAACCTCTTTTTCTGCTGGAGATGTCTGCATCAGCGTTGCAAATCATGTTCCTCCTACCTGCTATATATATACACACACACGTGTACATATGTAAACAGTATATACCACCCTCCCCCAATTTTGAATTATAAAGTGTTTTAAAATTAATGAAATAGGTTATTTTGAACTGGGGTGCGGGAATGGGTTTCAGCCTTTCTGTTATACTTTTTCTGCTTTTCTCCATGACTGGGAAGTTGAGAAACTTGATTTGCCTTTTTCTTAGGGAAAATTCATGTTGTTCCATAATGACGTGATTCCAGAAGCTTCATGAAGAAAAATAAAATTTCCAGAGTGGCTCACTGGGTGTGGTGTTTAGGTGAAGCGTATCTTTATCCTCGTGCTGTGGTTGGTGCACATCAGTCCTGCCAGCAGCACTCCCTTGCTGCACAGACCCCCTGGCCAGGCTTAGCTTTCCAGAAGCTCCTAGCAAAATTCTGGGCAGCTGTACTGGGAGGTAGATTGCACTGGGGCAGATGGTGCTTTCTGGGCATGGAGCGCTCTGTGCATCACTTGAACTCTGTTCAAACTCTTTTTGAGATCTTAAGGTGTGCCTTGACCTTGAATTGCCTTTTGACAGGGTGAGCTTCACCTCAACTGCTCAAACACACTGAAAGTCAGGACGTGATGAACCAGGCACACCCCACTTCCAGGGCTAGTGAGCCTTTGTATATGGCAGGTCCTAGTTTTTCAGTAGATAATCTGGCCAAGCAGAGTGAAAATGAAATGATTGGTCCCCTCTTCTTCAAAGCAGTCATTGCCACCTTGGTCAGATGGAGTTATTTTAAGATCATTTGAGTCTTCAGGAGACACTAAGTTTGAGGCTTTAATCCTGGATTTACTTCATGAGCAAGCTGTAAGGCTAAATTCCCCTAGACCACTTTCAAGGACTTTCCCAGCCAGGCTCTGATGTGAGCAGCGTGTTTGAAATCTCCCGGCATTTCTTTCTCTGCTTTGGTCTTGTGAAGCCCTGAACAGCTGTGTCCAACATTATGTCATTAATGGGCCATGAGAAGTTGAGTAAACAATCTCTGACTCACTGTATCCAGCAGACAAAATGCTGTGTCAGGGGAACATGTAGCATTCATTTTCTCTAACGAGGATGCTGTCAAGGTGTGCAGAAGATTGCAGTGCATGTGTGCTTAGGGAGGAAGCAATTATAAAGCAGTAATCCACAAAAAGCTCCTGTGAGTGGCTGAAGAGTGAGCCAAACTGGAACAATTAATGCTTAACCAGACCAGTTATTTAATCTTGGGAAATTGATGCCATTTCGATACATAATTTGTGCTGAATTGTGGTCTTTAGATGAATGTAGTTGAAAAGTAGATATTTCTGAGGTGATGGAAGACTTGGTCATATGCTGATCATACAGGCAGTGGTATGGGTATCAGCCCAAGCACAAAATAATAGGATTTCAGATTCCCACTTTTCAGGAATGCAACTTTATTTCTTTAGACTAACATAACCTCAGTATGTCAGTCCCATGCTTTCTGCTGTTTGGTGGTGGTCAGTCTACTTTCTACAAGCTGCTTGGGAAGCCAGGTGAACTTCTCTGCTCCTTTCTCCCTCACAGCCTGCTCCTGATGCATTGCGTTTTGCAGGCCATCTGCAGAAGTGTCATCTCCTAGGGATACTTCCAGAAACCTCCCCCTTCCAGCAGGTCTCTCCGCACCACTAGGATATACACTGGCTTTTTTGGGGATCTTCAAGCTCTTGTCTGATTCAGTTGCCTTAAGAGGTCACTTACCCTCTGTGACTCTGTGGGGATTAGTCCAGGGTAAAGTATATTTGTATATGGTTTTAGTTAATTTATATCTTCCAATGTCAGTAGACAATGAACAGCTTTTGGTGATAAAAACACAGATGGTAGCACTGAATCCTGCAGCGGGAACTGCTTTACGGTTATAGGCACGGCCGCACTGGTCAGGGTGTGTGTCTCTGACACAGCCAATTGGAAATAGATAGAAGAACAGAGCATGTCAAATGTGATCCTTGCCCTGGTATGCACCCGTTCATCTCCTGAACTCCTGCTGCTCTGCAGCCTCGCCAGCTGCTTTGGATCCTGCTCTGCAATCTCTCCCGCACAATTCCCTGAGGCTGAGAAAACCACTTTGATAAGTGAATTTTCAGAGGCAGACTTTTATCTCCAAATAACAAATGTAGGAAAATTCTCAAATAAGGAGATGCAAATACAGAAAATCTTTAATTTGTTCCTGTTCTGATAAGAGGATCTGAGAGTCCTTCTGGGGCAGGGGAATGATTCAAGTACTCTGTAAGCAATAGCTGCTGCTTAGCAGGTCTGAGTTACCCCTGTGCTTGCAGAGCAAAAAAGGAGCAGAAAGTTTGTAGTTCTGTTCTTGCGGAAAATGTAGTCTTTCCAGTATCTTCCCACCCCTGAGCTCTCCTCCCAGAACCTGAGTCTGTTCAACTCCGCAGGACAGTCTGGGCACTTACCAGAATTTAATGAGTGCTCATTATAGCCAATAAGTGCTCACAGTATTTTAATGAGCACAGCAAACCTGCTCCAGAAAACTCGGGGGTGTTTTAAATGCTGATAATGGGGAGCGGAGAAGGGAGGAGGAGATGAAGCAAGACAATCTCAGGGGAAAAATAACCCACCTTCTCACACACATGTTGTAGCAATACCATCCACTCCACTTCCACGTCAAGCCCTGAACTCCCTTTCTCTCCCCTCTGCATGCCCAACTGGCTCATGATCCAGGAGACGACTCCTGTAAAATCAAACCGTAAGCTTCCAATCCATGGCTTTTAATAAGCAAGGCATCACTAATTTATTCTAGGTTTTGCTTTTATCTGAATGTCAAGGTTAAATAAATTTATGTGTGCCTATTGCTTTTTACACGGGGCTGTCAAAGCAGCGTCACATTCACGTGGGGCCAGTTGGTCACTGTCTAGTCTACCCTCTGGCGCAGTCATTCAGTTCTCATGTTGTATTTGATCCTCGATTTTTTTTAAATGCCTTTATCAGGCACAGGCTGTATGAAAAACAGGCCTGGAGGGGACCCCAAATATCATCTGCCTGTCCCACAGCTGGTTCCCTTAGCCATGTCCATTTATCTACTTCATTTACATCAGTGCTGCGCTGCTCTGGGACTGTGGGAAGCTCTGTGAAGGTTGCTACCTCTAAACCTTACTTTGATTTTTAAGCCAAACCACGAAATGAATCTGGACCAAAGCCACCAATTTGGGTTGAAACCCAAATGCACCCTGAAGGTGGCCTAACCTAATTGAGGTAGAAACCACCGTCCAGCACTCAACTTTCCGATGATATATATATAGGTAAAGGGAACTCCGCTTCATTCAGATCTTGGACAAGCCCGGTAGAAATACGTGGTTTGCACATACTGGGTTTGGGGAGGAAAAAACCTAATGCCTGCGGGCTGTGTGTGTGACTCGGCCGCCCAGTCTGCAGGTCCAGCGCAGGCTTGGGCTGTATCCTGCTGTCACGCGTGGTGGAGGGCTCAAGCTCGAGCTGTGCAGAGCTCAGCTGAGGCCGGCACGGCCCCCGCAAGGGTTCGTACATGCCAATCTAATTACAAGGCTGGAACCAGAGCTCTTAACGACCTTCCTCTTTATGGTCCACCTGCATTAGCATCCAGTGATGTAGCTCTTTAGCAGTAGGATTGCCCATGACTGTGTATATAAGCACATGCATCTTTTATGATGTATGCCTATGATGTGCTGGGGATCTCTATTTCAGCTATTACTAGTGAGCTTAAACCATTTTTTAAAAGCTTCTTGTTGTATTAGTTTCTGAATATTACAACAAAAGAGGTGCTTACATAAACACAGCAAACCAATATCCCTGTTTTAAACAGTACAAGGCTCAGAAGGCTCAGGTAATGGGCAATGACAGTGCATTGACCTCTTTCCACAAGGTTAACATACAATGCCTTGTATTTTAAACAGTGTTAGGAGTCCAAAGCATTATCCATTAGTACCCCCTTATTGCCTCTTAGGCAGCGGGAAGACCTCTAAACAGGAGAGACAAGAACTGTGTCCTGTTGTGGCTGCATTTAAATGGCAAACGTCCACCTACTTGTCTGCCCATCAAACCACTGAGGATCCCCTGCTTTTCCTTTGCCCTTCCCTGGTGTTTTTATCCATAGCTTCCTGTTCACATGTTTTGGATTGTAGGCTCTTTGGGACAGAAGCTGTTTGCGTATGGCATCCCGTAGTCCTATATATTGGCAGGTACTACCAGACTGTAAGAAATAATAAATAATATTTTTCCCCTAGTCAGTCAGCTTGCAAGGCTTGGAATTCCTGGAGAACTATCTTCTAAGAATCATCCAAAACGAAGGCTCCAGAATAGTCTTTGTAAGGAAAATATTCTGCAGCTTTGGTATTCAGGAGGCCTTTCATGAGCCAAAGGTAACATCTTCCTCCGAGCCAGGAGAGCATGTATTGCTTCCAGATTTGTGCAAATCCATGCAGACTGCTTGTGCCTTCTATCTGTGCACCTTTGAGGAGATACAATATAGAAATGGGCAGGCAACGACCTGCTTCGTTCCATCTTCCTTAGGATGCAGAGAAGGGGGATCTTCCCTTCCTGGCCTGGTCAGGCTGAGGTTGGGGTGCTCCCTAACCACAGCACATGCAAACTCTGTTCTCCTTCCAGAACCACGCAAGGTTTTTTGAAGGTTTGGGTCCTTTACCATGAGGTTCAACCATATTTTCTGATTTCAATTGAACAGGAACAAATGACTGTGATTGTTCAGATTTTTCCTTTTTTTTCTGCAGGCTGCATTCATAGCTGAAGGTGTATGTTTTAGCATCACTGAATGAAACGT